TCTTGCCCTCCAAAGGTAAGTGTATACAGGGTATTGCCGGCGGGGCTGGAAGGCGGCCGTTTCTTGCCCTCCAAAGGTGGTTGGTAAGTCTTGTAGCAAGTACGTATTAGGTATATTCTTTGATATTAAAGGTGCTTTTGATCACCTATGGTGGCCCTCGATTATGAGTGAATTAAGGTATAGGCAGTGTCTTAATGATTTATATAGGTTATTAAAGGACTATTTGTCAAGGAGAGAGGTGGTATACGAGGAAGCCAACCTAAGGGTGGTAAAGAAGGTAAATAGGGGATGTCCTCAGGGGTCGGTCTTGGGACCTGTCCTCTGGAACTTGGTTTTTGATGGTGTCCTAAGGATTTTTAATAGTTATGGTGTTAATTATATTGCTTATGCTGATGATTTGGTTTTAATAATATCCGGTAATTCGAGGAGAGAGCTGGAGTTCCATGGTGATAAATGGGTTGTATTGCTGAATAATTGGTTATTGGCTAATAAGCTGGAGCTGTCGGTTGATAAGACGGTGGCGATTTTACTGAAAGGTATTATGAGCAAGGATCGGCCGCCAAGGGTCAAGCTTGGTAATAAAATAATTAAGGTTGCTGACTCGGTTAAGTATCTTGGTATACATATTGGGGCCAATATGAGTATTACGCTACATGTCACGTCTATCACTGATAAGTGTATAAAGGTAGACAAACGTTCTTGTTTTTCCCAACAATTATGGAAAGGTTGAGGGCACACTGGGTTCAACCGGACTATTACTTGTCTCAAATTATTACAGGGCATGGGGATTTTAATCAAAAATTATTTTCTTTCGGGTTAACTTCATCTCCATTCTGTGAGTGCGGAGAGGTGGATACTCTTGAACACTTTGTATTTCATTGCCCGATATATTCGAGATATAGAATAGAATTAGAATTATTAGATATAAGTATAGAACATTATAATATGATAATGCAGAATAAAAATAAATTTAAACGAATATATAATATTTTAAAAGATANGACTAATCGAACCGTCTAGTAGCTGGTTCCCTCCGAAGTTTCCCTCAGGATAGCTGGTGCTCGATCGGAATCAGTCTCATCCGGTAAAGCGAATGATTAGAGGCCTTGGGGCCGAAACGACCTCAACCTATTCTCAAACTTTCAATGGGTGAGAAGTCCGGTTTACCCGACTGAAGCCCGGACGATTCTCAGGATGTGAGTGCCCAGTGGGCCACTTTTGGTAAGCAGAACTGGCGCTGTGGGATGAACCAAACGCCGGGTTAAGGAACCCGATGCAAGACGCTCATGAGATCCCATGAAAGGTGTTGGTTGCTATAGACATTTAATTGTAAAGTAAATAGAGGGCTGTCTGTCTTTAAGCTACAGACTTTTGCCCTATGGAAGTAGGAAGGAAGAGAAAGCATGAGATGTGAAGTGTGAAAAACAGGGAGATAGGACAGTGGGAAAGAAGTCATGGGCCCCAGAGCGCTTGCATCGGGTCATTTATTAAAACAAAATAACAAAATATTACAAACGGCACTCAGCTCGAGGCCTCAATCACATCGTAAAATTTGCACAGTAATTACAGCATAGGTGTACAGAAGACAAATCTTCTTCGCTGTCCTCGTCTTCTTCGCTTTCTTATACAACATATTTACAAACAGGCTTATACATTACAGCCAACCAATCAATTATGCCCGACAATTTAAAACAGAATAACAATATTTACAAAGCCGTGAGTTTACAAAGCTGTCCAGGACTATCTACAACCACCTTTAAAGAAGGTGAGTCTGCTACAGCCACTACTTGTGGCTCTGAGAAACAATCTGACCATAAATCCATCCTGGATAAAGGGTTGTAAACACAGCAGAATTTCGGTGTAACAAGAAAGCCAAACCAGACAACTACCCAATACACTCGATGGGTAGCGCAAAAACAGTTGCTGTCCTTATTGCTGAATAAGCTTCCGAAATTATGAATACTTGCGTAGTTCGTTAATGTAACTTGGACAAGACTTGTCCAAGGTATTATGTTTGTAGTCTGTCTGTTTGTTCCTGTAGCAATTGGCGCATCTCACATCTTTGTCTTTTGGGCACTCTCTATAAAGGTGGGCATCTCCGCAGTGACTGCATGTCGTTTCTTTCGAAGGGCACTGGTTGGCAAAATGTCCAAACCCTAGGCATTTGAAACATCTTTTGATTGAGATGAAATCAAAGACTGGACATCTTGCCCAGCCCAGATTTATTGTACCCTCTTTTATAATCATCTCTCGAAACATAGGCGTTACCTCCAGAACCCATGACACGCAGTGTTGATCTTTTTGTGGAAGTGAAAACTTCACTGTTATTTCTTCATTGACGAATTTTTGTGAGATGTTTGTGTTAAAACACTCATTCTGTTCATAAAGCATATCAAGGATTTCTTCCTGTTTGATGGATTTCGGGACTGACACCAATTTAATTCTAGGCAACCGTTTCTGCGATGTTTTAGTTGTTAATTCCTTCACTTTTATTAATTCCTTAGCCATAGTATTCATGTCTTCCGTGCAGTACAGGTCTATTGCCACTCCGCCTTGGTTTATTTTTCTAAGACCTTTGATCCCGATTCCTAAGTGTACCGGATTGATTTCCTTTATCAAGATCTGCTTAGTGTCCTCAGAAGTATTTCCCTTGTTTTTGCTATATACCAGTACAGTGTACTGTGGTACAGAAGTCTTAATCTTAACTTCTGGTTGAGTTTTCCCAAGTTTAAGAACTTCGCTATAGCTAATTTTTTGCTCTTTTACACTAGTTCCTTTATGTAAGTTATCATTAAGATCTTTAATACCTCCTTTAACAGTTAAGATTTCTTCCATCGTTTTTTCAGTATTTGCTTGTATTAATTCTGTTATTTCCGACTTAAGTTTATTTCTAATTTCACTCTCTTTGTTCTGATCTAGATTACAACGGTTTGTCATTTTCTTTATGTCACTAATGTCTTGTTTAATTTTCTTCAATTCTGTCATTGTTAACTCATTATGTAAATCTAGCATTTTACTAACTTCCTCTTTGGTAATAGTATTTTCTATATTAACTCTTGATTCCGATTTTTCCCTAATTTCTTTTAAGTTTTCTTCGGCAAGATAAATAATCTTTGTCATTTGTTCTATTAAGAACCGTTTGTGATCTATTGTCGATAATCGACCGTTAGGATTCTCTATTATATAATTTTTCGTCTCTTCTACCATAAGGAATGCCTCCTCCAAAAAGGCTTCAATTTTATCGCTTTCTACGTCCGACATCTTTAAAAACTTAATTTGTTAATAATAAAAACCGTTAATGCAATGCTAGTAAACTAAGCCAATGACTAGCAAAGTACTGAATGGAAGTAGTAAGTTGTAAAAATAACCTTGAAAATACTTCCTGTTTACTATATTTAACTCGCTGTATTCGGCGCCAGATGGTCTGACAAAACAACAACAGGTGTCCGAGCAACGGCCGTTCCTATGGCAACGGCCGTTATAAAAAACCGTCGTTAGCGTTAAGTGAGGA